ATGAGAATAACTTGTGAAGAGAAACGTACATCTTGAGAACGGAAATATTGACAACCGTCAAATCCAAAAACTTTATGACTACAAGACTGTTACTTTTTTTTTCTCATAAGAATGAAGTAGAGCATCTCTTCCTTGATGGTCTTGATACATAGGGGGTGTTTGGGAAGTTGTTATTGTAGTAGGTTATTTTAGTTGTTTTGTTATTTTAGTAAGTTAAAATTTTTGTATTTGAAAAGATGATTGAATTTTTTTATAATTGAATGTGGTGTTTATGAGAGAAAAAATAAAATGATTATAGATTTGATATAACATTTTATCTTATTTACTATTTTAGCCTATTTTATCTTTTTGTGAATTTTAATCTAAAAAATGTTAAATTTTTTCTTACCAAACACTCCATAAAGAACACACAAAATCCGAAACACTGAAACATTTTGCGAAGTTGATCTGATCTTACTATGAAACCCACCCACTAAAAGTTTGAAATTCAAAATCAAACAGACAAAAGAAAAAAAAAATATTGATGAAGTAATAGTATAATTGAATATGAGTCATGAGTCCAAAACATTCAAGGTGTTTGATAATAGATTATGATATTTTATGATTTTTAATTATTTTAAGGTATTTGATGTTTGAAGGTATTTGAATTTCAAAAGATATTTGTGATTGTTTGTGATTTTGTTGATATTTAATAAGTTTGGGATGGCATTTTCAAGATAGGTAAAAAGTAAAAAACATGATAATTCTTCACACTTTTATAATAGTAGTAGATATTATTGAATTCAGAGTTAGATTGTTTATCTGTAAACTTTCTTACAATGACTTGTAAAGTGGGTTGTTAATATCGGAACCTTGGTTCTTTCATTCATGTTTAGAAGCAAAATGACCGTATTGAAATCCAAGCATAAAAAGAATATAGTGTCTGGTTGCTTTGGGTATACCTTGTGCTTCTTCAATTTGATTTTGGTTAGGATATCTCTTATTTTTTGTTTACCATCCAAGTCCATACTTGGTTCATTGACGTTATTGTGGAGATTATTAACATATATATTCTTTTTAGTTTACCATCCAATCAAGAATATGTAGACAAAAACAAAAAAAAAAAAAAATCACCGTGTTTTAATTTTTTTCATTGAATGTGGGTTGAACCCCATCGTATGATGTCAAAGTTACTGGGCTCACATTTGATTATACATCACATATGTTGCATGCCTTATTTTTTTGTTTGGTTGCGGAATGTAGTGACACGGTTATTGTTTCATTTATTTTGTTGCTCAGGATATAGACATCATGCTATTGTGTATGTTCGGTTTATCCACTGTTGCTGTCAAGAGTGTTAATGGATTGACATTCACACAGTTGGTTGATAATTTATGTGAGGTGTTGGCGGACGTGACACCATCATCGATTTCCATATCTTACAAATTATCATGTCACGAGAACCAATTCATGATGAGTACTGATGTGGACATGGAAAACATGTTTTCCCTTGCAAGATCCTTTGGCGTTACTCATATCTACGTTGCGGTTGGCTCACATAATGAGGTGGATGCTCTAATTCAAGGTAAGCAATACGGTGGGACTATCTCCGCAAGTCAAATGGATCCTAACATAGAACAATTTTCCACGGCCAAAATGGACATAGATTTGTTGCCCAATTATTGTTGCCACAGTAAGAAAACGTTGATGACAGTTGATTGGTCACATGGCATTAGTCATGTAGGCCAATGTTTTGAAGGGGGTGTTGCTGCATTCCGTTTGGTTCTGTCCAAATATGCTATTGAATGTGGGTTTTGACTTCAAATTCGTGAAAAACGATTCAATGTGGGTCACGGTTGTGTGCACGTTGCGAGAGCAAAAAGGGTGCACATGGTTGATACATAGAAGGGTTCAAACATGCAATGGCTACTTTTACTTGAAGAGGTTGAACAACTTGCATAATTGTGCTGCTGTTGTTCGCACTAGGAAGAATAGTAGAATCAACAATGATCTGAATTGGTTTGCAATGTTTTTGGTGATCGGGTGCATAACAAGCCGCTTATACGTCCCACTGACGTCGTGTTTGACCTAAAAAAAGAGTACGGATTGACTATTAGTTACCACATAGCCTGGTTAGGTGTGGAGAAGGCAAGAGGCGAAGTGTACGGTGACTGCCATGTTTCATTCGTTCAACTTAGGTGGTACGCTGATGCAGTTATGTAGTACAATCTCGGGAGTTATGTGAACTTGGATTTCGAGTAGTCAACTGGTTGATTTAAGCGGTTCTTCATATCATGCAAAGCTTGCATTGACGGATTCTACCATATCCACCCATTATTGTTCCTTGATGGCACATTCTTGAAAGGGAGATTTAAAGGCAATTTGCTTGCAGCGACGAGGAAGAATGGCAACAAAGGTACGTGTCTTATGATAATTACTTCAGTATTTCATATAGTAACGCATCACATGGCCACTAAACACTTTATTATTAGTCCACTACATCATTAGGGGATCCCCCATGAAAAATGTGTTTCCAATTTATTGTTATTTTTATACCATTGTCCATGTTGCGGATCGAAATGTGAACCGTTATTAATGTGAACGTAAACATTGTTAAACCCATTACACATCTAACATAACACTTGTCACAACTCCTAGGTTTATTCCCATTAGCTTTCGCTATCGTTAACTCCAAAATGACTGCAAATTGGACTTGGTTTTTACAGCAACTTGCTAACATTGTCAACAATGCTCGAACATTAACTATCGTATCTGATTGGAATGATGGGTTACTCAAATCCTTGCCTATTGTATTCCCATCTGCACATCATGCGTACTGTTTGCAACATCTCCAAGCAAATCTGAGAGACAAATTACAGTGGGTTGACAACCATGTCCATTTTGGTCTAATGGCCAAGTTGCGTGAATGTGCATACGCTCCAATCGAGGCTTTGTTTTAGCATCATTTGGCCAAGCTAAAAGGATCAGAACGATTTGGGATAAATAATTTTTTGGAAGATATGCCACCGAACCATTGGGCCAATGCATATTTCAGGTTTGTACGATACTTACATATACTACTTGCATTTGTTTGTCAGTACATATTTTACACTATATGACTAATTTACATTTGAAAATACCCAATATTTGATAACATTGTCATGATGTTTTCAAAATGTCGACAGGGCAAACGTTATGGAGAGATGACCTCTAACGCTGCAGAATCGTTCAATAAATGGATACTTGATACCCGTAATTACCCAATCACTAGGTTGGTTAATACAATCAGAAATCAGATAATGACAATGAGGGCTGATCGTACATTACTGGCTACTAATTGGAATGACTTACTTTGTCCAAAAATGGAAAACCGTATAAAGGAGGCATACTTCAATGGTTGCACGTGGATTGTTAGCTAGGAAAATGAAGACATATATGAGGTACATTCATTTCCAACGGTTTTGGTAGACATTGGCAAGCGTTTATGTTTATGTTTCTAGTGGCAACTGAATAGATTCCCATGTGCACATGCGGTAGTTGCAATACAGAATAGTGGAAAGGGATTTTAGTACATGTGTTGAACCATTTTTCATTGTCGATCAGTACAAAGTAGCTTATTCCGGATACATTTAGCCAATACCAATAGTTGACAAACTGTCATTTTCGGCAGATGATTTCATTATATCTCCGCTGGCACTTAAACGTCCTCTAGATCGACCGAAGAAGAATCAGATACCATCTTGGGGAGAGAAACTAAGTCAGATCAGGTGCGGGTGATGTGGCCGTATGGGGAGCCACAACCGAAAGACATGTAAAGAACCAATCTAGTAATGGACACTTAGCGACAAAGTTTTATAATCACTTTTGAATAGTAAGATCGTATTATCGTAGTAGAATGTAGCCAACAAAATGATGAAAATTTTTAATAATTCAATACATTGTTGACATGTGATAGTTTAGCTGGTTTTGTTCTTCACGCCATTTTTTAGTTGGATCACCATTTGAAGCAAACAAACTAAAATCCTTTCCAAACAAATGTGCCTTTTACTCTTATATCTTTTACCAAAAAAACTAAAAATGTGATTCACCAAACGAACCTTAGTGTCATTGAATAATGTGACCATATGAACGAGAATGTACTACCTGAAGGGTGACATATAACACACTACGAATGCGAATGTGACACCCTAAAATATACGACAATACGCAAATTGATATATACCAACAATGTCAAACATGATATAACAACATATAACATAATGGTACGCATGCCGATTTATCGAATAATGCGACAACATAAACGAGCATGTGAAGTGCAAGGATTGATGTGTGACACAACCCTAACATTAATGTGACAACATGTATAATGGGTATATGACAATTTGAAAATGTGACACATTGAAAGACAATGTGACATATGTTATTTGAAACGTGGATCAAATCTGCCCAAACAAAAACCACCACCCACAATTGTGTTAGTTGTATTTTGCAACTCCTTGCAACAAGTAACAAACACTCCCATACATTCACATTCACATTTACAATCTAGTCCATAAAGATGGGAAGTCAAATTTGGTGTGAACAATCCACCATCGACACGTAATGTGAATGTCAAAATCAACAATTTAGACAACCTAGATATTAAATTAATGAGTATAATGTGAATTACAAAAAATCAAAGTCAAATCTCATGTAATACTATTCAAATGTCAGCTCATCAATCCTCATTCGTGTTAGTTGTATTTTTCAACTCTCTGCGACAAGTAACAAACACTCCTATACATTCACATTCACATTCACAATCTGGGTAGTAAAGATGGGAAGTGAAATTTGGTGAGAACAATCAACCATCGACACGTAACGTGAATGTCAAAATCAACAATTTACACAACCTAGATATTAGATTAATAAGTATAATGTGCATTACAAAAAATCAAAGTCAAATCTCGTATAATACTATTCAAACGTCAACTCATCAATCCTCATTCGTGTTTGTTGTATTTTTCAACTCCCTGTGACAAATAACAAACAGTCCCATACATTCACATTCACAATCTAGGTTTAGAGATGGGAAGGGAAATTTGGTCAGAACAATCCACCATCGACACGTAACGTAAATGTCTAAACCAACAATTTAGACAACCTAGATTCCTACTGACATTAACAATCCTACTACCATTATTGACTGATACATACCGCCTTATTATAACAAACAAGTGCAAACAAAAAATTATGACTGAACCATTCTAACGTATTCCCCAAAAAAATGTACGAATCAGAAACCGTATTGACAATGCTGCCTAAAACATCCAAAATCATGATAATAACAAAATTTGTTTAATGTCAAATGTACCGTGCTATTCAAAAACTAACTAAACGTGCATTTAGACCACAAAAAAAAAAAAAACACGATGCACCCATTTGGCACCATTGGAAGATTGTTCTGATTGTCAATTGTCAACAACAAATGACCTTATTGGGTTGTTCACAAATGACTTCACCATCCCGGCTTGCATCATCTTGCAACTCTTCCCTCCCATTGACTTGTCCACAACATGGCGACGCACGAGTTGCTTCATAATGAAGCATGCTATAATTTCACAATCAGCCCTGTTAAGAAAATTATAGACATTAGTAAATACATTAAAATGAACCACATGCAATGTATGGAAACATTAATAGCATTCATTGCAAATAAACATAATTCACACTTACGAGTCTGCTTTTTGTTGCAGACAATAATCAACCACTAAAAGTTCCTTCACCAAATCTTGTGTTTCAACTGTGCCAACCTTCAGTCTATGCCTTATGTAATCCTCAAAGTATCCCTTCTACATTATTGTCAAATTTATATTACCAAGTAATTAGTATTGTTGTCAAATGTAAATTATGAAGGCCAGTGAAACTAACTAATTCACGTTTACCAACCAATAACCATGCTTCCCAGTAATGTTTGTCTTCTCTCCTACGTCTTGGTTTCAATGAGTTGTAATGCATCCAAAATCCCTCATTGGTGTCATAAACCATTAGTGTCCAATGGTTATCTAAGTGGATTGGGAATTGAATATATCTGACTTTGAGGGCATCGGGGGCACAGATCGCCAAGTACCTGTCATGTACATCTTCATCCACATCTCTAATCGTAAAGCATTCGATTTTGTTTTAGTTACCACAAACGTAAAATGTTTAACAACAATTTACCAAACATCACATCTTACCAAACACATAGTGCTAAAAATATATGATTTCTCCTCATCCATGGATCCAGATGACATGATTTGCTGCTCATACATCAGCATTTCCGCGTACACATCAATTACCTATGTGCACAAGTAAAACATCTATGACTTTACTTGATGCATATACATTTACGTTATTAAACCGCGCTCGCAAGTTCACAATCTTCAGACGTTGCATGAATAATTATGTATACCATACTTACATTGCCTCGTAACGTCAGTCCCTTAATGAGTGCTTGTATGTCATTGAAACACACATAATTGGAACCATTCTGCCTAGCCCAGACTTGCACACTAACAATTCAACAAGACATTGTTCAACACTAAATTCATGTACAATTGCAAATTGATAAAAGTAAGTTTGGAAACGTACCTATCCCCGTCTTTCTCATAAGCTTCTTTAAGCTTGTCTTTCTCTTGTGTTGATAACAACTTCCAAATTGGTCAACGATTAGTCAAGTCAAATCGAGAAAATTTTCTCTCCGACTTTGCAAGGTTATCAACCTCTATAATATCATCGTGCATGATCTGCTTATCAGCACACTTACCCACCTCGACCACACCACCCTCAGGTGGTTTCTTCAACTTCTTACATCATCATGGATCTGTCCAAGAATCACATTTTTTGTTGACCCACCAAATTTCCCGCAATTATGAGGATGGCCTGTTTTTGCCTTTTACATTGCCTGGCTGTTGATCCAAGAACTACATGGCCATGCATGCTACATCATCATGGATCCTTCCTAAAATCACAATTTCTATTGACTAAACAAATTTTGTGCAATTTTGAGCCCGACCTGTTTTTGGCTTTTGCATTGCCTATTTGATCCAAGAATTGAATGGCCATGCGTGCTACACCAGCATCGATCCTTCTTAAAATCACGTTTTCTATTGACCCACCAAATTTCACACACTTCTGAGTCCGGCTCATTTTTGGCTTTAACATTGTCTGTTCATTTCATTCGAGAATTGTATAGCCATGCATGCTACATCATCATGGACCCTTCTTACAATCATGTTTTCCAATGTCCCACCAAATTTCACGTGATTCCGAGCTTGGCTCATTTTTGGCTTTTGTATTGCCTGTCTATTTGATCCGAGAATTGTATGGCCATGCATGCTACATCATCATGGATCATTCCTAAAATCACGTTTTCTATTGACCCATTAAATTTCATACTATTCCGAGCCTGGACCGTTTTTGGCTTTCCATTGCTTGTCTGTTTCATCCTTGAAATGAATGGCCTTGCATGCTATATCATCATGGATCCTTCTTAAAATCACGTTTTCTATTGACCCACCAAATTTCACTCGATTTCGAGCCCGGCCCGTTTTCGTCTTTTGCATTGCTTGTCTGTTTGATCTGAGAATTGTATGGCCATGCATGCTATATCATCATAGATCCTTCTTAAAATCACGTTTTCTATTAACCAAGCAAATGTCACGCGATTCCAAGCCCAACCCGTTTTTCGTCTTCACATTATCAGTCCTTTCAATTTGAGAAATGTATGGCCATACATGCTCCATCATCATGGATCATTCTTAAAATCACATTTTCTAATGATGCACCAAATTTCACGCGATTCTGAGTGATACGAGAATGGTATGGCCATGCATGGTACGTCATCGTGGATCCTACTTAAAATAACATTTTCTACAAATCTACCAAATTTCACGCGATGCCGAGCCCCGACCGTTTTCGAATTTTGCGTTGGCAGTTCATTTGATCTGAGAATCGGATGGCCATACATGCTGCATCATCATGGATTCTTCTTAAAATCTTGTTTTATATTAACCCACCAAATTTCACACGATTCCAAGCCTGTCCCATTTTTGGCTTTTGCATTGCCTGTTTGTCTGATCCGAGAATTGTATGGCCATGCATGCTGCATCATCATGGATCTGTTCTAAAAACACGTTTTCTATTGACCCACCAAATTGAACATGGTACCGAGGCCGTCCTATTTTAGGCATTTGCATGGCCTATCCGTTTGATCCAAGAACTGTATGGCCATGCTTGCTACATTATCATGGATCCTTCCTAAAATCAAGATTTCTATTGACCGAACAAATTTCGTGTAATTCCGTGCCTGACCCGTTTTTAGCTTTAGCATTGCCTGTTCATTTGATCCAAGAAGTGTTTGGCCATGCATGCTACATCATCATGGATCCTTCTTAAAATCACATTTTCTACTGACCCACCAAATTTCACTCGATTCCGAGCCCGGCCTGTTTTTGGCTTTCGCATTGCCTGTTTGTTTTATCCAAGAATTGTATGGCCATGCAAGCAATATCATCTGAGATCCTTCTTAAAATCATGTTTTCTATAAACCAAGCAAATTTCACATGATTTTGAGCCCAACCAGTTTTTCACTTTCGCATAGCCTGTCCGTTTGATCTGAGAAATGTATGGCCATGCATGCTACATCATCATGAACCATTCTTAAAATCACGTTTTTTAATAACCTATCAAATTTCACACGATTTCGAGTGATACAAGAATGGTATGGCCATGCATGGTACGTCATCGTGGATCTTTCTTAAAATCATGTTTTCTACAGAGCCACCAAATTTCACCCGATTCTGAGTCCGACCCATTTTCGGCTTTTGCATTGCCTATCCGTTTGATCTAAGAATTGTATGGCCATGCATGCTACATCATCATTGATCTTTTCTAAAATCATGTTTTCTAATGACCCATCACATTTCCCACGATTCCATGCCCGACGCATTTCTGGCTTTTGTATTACCTCTCCATTTGATCCGAGAATTGTCTAGCTATGCATGATATGTCCTCATGGATCCTACCTAAAATCACATTTTCTATTGATCCATCAACCAAATTTCATGTGATTCCGAACACGGCCCGTTTTTGGCTATTGCATTGCTTGTCCGTTTGATCCGAGAATTGTATGGCCATGCATGCTACATCATCATAGATCTGTCCTAAAATCACATTTTCTATTGACCCACCAAATTTCACTTGATTTCGAGCCTAGCCCATTTTTGGCTTTTGCATTGCCTGTCCGTTTGATCCGATGCACAGCCATGCATGCTACATAATGATAGATCACGTTTTCTATTGACCCACCAAATTTCACACGATTTCGAGCTAAGACCGTTTTTGGCTTTTGCATTGTCTGTCCATTTGATCAGACAATTGTATGGGCATGCATGCTAGATCATCATGCATCCTTCCTAAAATCACGCTCTCTATTAACCCACCATATTCCACACGATCCCGAGCCTAGCCCGTTTCTTGCTTTTGCATTGCCCGTCCATTTGGTTTGAGAATTGTATGGCCATGCATGCTACATCATCATGGATCCTTCTTAAAATCACGTTTTCTATTGTCCCACCAAGTTTAACGCGATTCCGAGCCCGGCCCATTTTTGGATTTTGCAATGCCTGTCCGTTTGATTCGAGAATTGTACAGCCATGCATGCTACATCATCACGGCTTCTTCCTGAAATCATGTTTTTTATTGAGCCCCCAAATTTTATGCGATTCCGAGCCCAACCCATTTTTGGCTTTTGTATTGCCTGTCCGTTTGATCCTAGAATTGTTTGGTCACGCATGCTACATCGTGACGGATCCTTCCTCAAATCATGTATTCATTTGACCCACCAAATTTTACGTGATTTTGAGCTCGGACCATTTTTGGCTTTTGCATTGCCTGTTTGTTTGATTCGAGAATTGTATGGCTATGCATGCAACATCATCAAGGATACAACCTAAAATCATGTTTCACTATTGACCCACCAAATTTCTCATGATTTCGAACCCGTCCCATTTATGGCTTTTGCATTACCAGTCCGTTTTACCCGAGAATTGTATGGCCAAGCATGCTGTAATCATGGACCCTTGTTACAATCACGTTTTCTACTGGCCTACCAAATTTCATGCGATTCTGAGCTGGGCTTGTTTTTGGCTTTTGTATTGCATGTCCATTTGATCGGAGAATTGTATGGCCAAGTAGGCTATATCATCATGGATCCTTTTTAAAATCACTTTTCTATTGACCCACCAAATTTCACGTTATTCCGAGCCTGGCTTGTGTTTGGCTTTTGCATTGCTTTTCCATTTGATCCGAGAATTGTTTGGCCATGCAGGCTACATCATCATGGATCCGTCCAAGAATCACGTTTTCTATTGAACCACCAAATTTCACCGGATTCTGAGGACGGCCCATTTTTTTCCTTTTACAATGCCTGTCCATTTGATCCAAGAACTATATGGCCATGCATGCTACATCATCATGGATCCTTTCAAAAATCACAACTTCTACTGACTATACAATTTATTCTGCAATTCTGAGCCATTGCCTGTCTTTGGCTTTTGCATTTCCTGTCTGTTTGATCCGAGAATTGAATGGCCATGTGTGCTACATCATTATGGATCCTTCTGAAAATCACATTTTCTATTGATCCACCAAATTTCACGGCTTCCAAGTCCGGCTCATTTTTGGCTTTTGCATTGTCTATTCGTTTCATTCGAGAATTGTATAGCCACGCATGCTACATCATCATGGACCCTTCTTAAAATCACGTTTTCTATTGTCCCACCAAATTTTACGTGATTCTGAGCTCAACCTATTTTTGGCTTTTCCATTTCCTGTCCGTTTCGTCTGAGAATTGTATGGCCATGCATGCTACATCAGCATGGATCCTTTCTAAAATCACGTTTTCTATTGACCCATTAAATTTCACGCGATTCTGAGCCTAGCCCGTTTTTTCCTTTCCCATTGCCTGTTCGTTTCATCCATGAATTGAATGGCCATGCATGCTACATCATCATGGATGCTTCTTATAATCACATTTTCTATTGACCCACCAA